ATGGAAGAGACCCAACTTATCCATTTAACCTAGTTACAAGCCCTGCTATCGTGTCCTACGATGTGGAAGACAATTTCGCCTCTGAATTACGACTAAGAATGCAAACCGCTCATCAAACAGCTCAGAAATTTTCCGAACAAGCTGCGGAGGCGAGGCAAACGAGACACCGCCAACAAAATAAACCTCCACACTATCAACTAGGAGATCGAGTGTTATTAAAGGAAGTTGTTATACCTAAAGGCCAAAAACAGAAATTAGCTCCTCGATGGTCGGGACCTTATCGAATTATTGAAATCCTCGGTCCCGTTAATTTTAAGATTGAAAATATTAACACTAAACGAACTCTACATGTACACGCCGACCGAATTAAACCAACTAGCGCTAGACAGGAATTCAACCTTGACCCAGAAACACCAACCGAGTCACTCATCTCCACACCGGAAGAGGATGCAACGGAGCAGCAACAACATCTCATCTCCGACCCCTGGGATGAATTTATTTTCTCTTCTATCCCTACCGCTCCTCCAGAAGGATTTCCGGAATCAGAGGATGAAGGTTCGAGCGAGGAATCTACAGATGAGGAGGAAAGGGAAAGCTCTGAACCAGAAATAGAAGAAGAAACGGGGTCAACGCCTCCTTATGCTCTTAGAAGCCAAGGGCCGGTTGCAGATCAACCCTGGGTTATGCCTCGCCCCACCCGAAGCCGCATACCCCGATTTATTTCTCCTACCACTAGCCGATCATCCTCTCCTTAATTACAGTTAATACGGTTGTGTAAACCTAATGAGAGAGATGGCTTCTCGAGAGAGAACACGGCCTTTTGAAAGAAAAAAAACTTAAATGATATACCTTGTCCTTCCAGTACCTCACCTATATTTTTCTCCCTTTCAGAGAATAATGGCCTCCTCTGATCGGAATGCAGTATTAACGGCCTTAGTGAGCTGCCCAGTCTGCCTTACAGTAGCAAAACCACCTGTGTCACAGTGTACAAATGGGCACATAATCTGTTCACAATGTCGCCCGAGAGTTTCCACCTGCCCTACCTGCCGAGAGACTCTAGGACATATTCGAAGTCTAATAACTGAACAGCTTTCCTCCTCGTTACGACTGCCCTGTCGTAACGAGACTTTCGGATGCCCCGAAATGTTATATGAAGCAGATCGGGAGGATCATGAAACCCTATGCTCCTTCAGACCCTTAACTTGTCTTTTTTCCCATCTCGACTGCAGATGGGAGGGAGCTCGGCCTAATTTACTATCACATATCCAGCAAACTCACCCGCAAGTGCCACATCTGGATCAAAATGCAGTAAACTTCTTTGGAATTTATGCGGAGAATGACTTTCCCNCGAATCGTTGAAACCCAAAACCCTATTATACAAATCTATGTGAATAATATTCCGGTTAAAATGCAAATTGACCCTCAAGTGGACTATACACTCATATCAAAGAACCTAGCCAACAGATTGAAGGGAAAAACTTACGTAAAATTTGGCCTTAAACGAAAATTAGGACCCATCCTGGGAAGGCAAACAATGATTATAGGAACGGCGAGGCCCACATTTAAATTAAGAGGCCAGAAATTTATGGTACCTTGCGATGTGGTACGAGACGATATTACTACTCCCTGCGACGGAATCTTAGGCCTAGATATCATAAAGGCGGCGAAACTGACATTTGACCGTGACCATGCCCAGGTGGTGCTGTCCCATGGAAAACAAATCCATTTTTGCACTTCTCAAAGGCCGCGCACAAGGAAGCGTAGATCAAAACCCCAAACTGAAAGGGAGAAACCTTCTATGGATATCCTCCAAATTAGACAAACAGCTCCCACCAAAAGAGAAAAGCGGAGAACGAAACCAAACCGGAGGGCAAGAAGCCGGAAAAAATTCAAGCAACCTATAACTCCGCAAGATCACACAGAGGTGACCATCGAATCGCCCACCATAACCTCGGAAGACAATTCATTAATGATAACCTCACAACCCCTTACGTTTTCCCAGGAGGACTTTAATTTAGCCTCCATACTCCCGGAAAGCGAAATTGAGGGCAATGACATTGAGCAAGAATCGGAACCGGAAGGAAAACCAGAAATTACTCCTCCATATGTATTCCGAAAGCAAGGAATAATGGAAAATCAACCTCGGGTTATGTCACGACCCACTCGAAGTCGTATACCTCGATTGATTTCTCTCACCATCTTCTCCTTTGGATCGGGACTAAAATGGTGAAATATTGGAAGGGCATCAACTACATTACCCTGTAGTATGTTGTACAATTTAGTCGTAGCTTAAATTTGGTTTGATCAAATTTATTTTTCCCGAGGGAACCTTTACAATCAATAAAAATATTTCCTATTCTAGTGGAAGAAACTTCTCATACACTAAGGGTGAACCTGAACCAAACTGACCTAAAGTGACGGTGACATCATCTACGGAGCCAAAACGAATTATCTCCAAATCACTTTTCTTATCCTTAGTATCAAGTCTACGGCCATGAAACCTGCATCAACCCACGTAGAATTTTCTAAAGGAGTACTTTTCCTTCACCAAGGAAATTTTTTGATGACCACAAGTCACTGGACCCTGGTCACCAAACTCAACTTTGAACATGTGGAACGACAGATTCAATTCATCTCACAAGCTTTATCCTATTTAGATGCCATGATCCAACAACGAAAACATACAACCCCAAAGGATAAAAATCCTAAAACCCAATGGAATCTCCCTACAAAAGGTTTTGAACTCCTCCGAGCTTCATTCCTCACCTATCATAAGGGATATAAAGAACTTACTGACCTAGTTACTCTAAACCCATCTCCTAAACGAAGAAGAGGCTTAATAGACATAGGAGGGAAAGCCCTCAAATTCCTCTTCGGAACAGCTACGTCCGAAGAAATTGAAGCCTTGAATAAGGAAATATCGAACATTAAACAGCGTAACGAAAGAATTCTTCACTTATTGCGTTCGCAAACGACCTTATTAAATGATACCCTAAATATAAGCAAGCATAATAGACACCAGATCTATATATTATTTAAACGACAAGAATATTTTGGAGAAGTCATGAATTTATACCAATATAACCTAGCCTCTGAGATAATTCTACAAACGATCAAATTCTCCGTTCAAGAATTTCATTTCCAAGTAGTAGAATTACGAGAAGCCATTGATATTTTGGAACAAGGTTGATTAAGTACATACTTTATCTCACGAGAAGTAATGTTAAAAAGTCTAAGAGACATTCAACTTCAACTTCCGGAAGGTTACGCAATGATCGAACCTATCCAACCGGATACGTTGTTTAAATATTACCAGCGGCTGACTACCGTCACAGTAGCTTTACCTGGTAATCTACGAGTTTTCACAAAAATTCCCTTAATTACTCCCAGTGGATAATTTTGATATGTATGAAATTGTCAAATTTCCAACGTACATCCCTATGTTAAGAACTTTTTTCCAATTTCAAACCGAATATCCTATAATTGCTCTGTCTATGGATAGACAATTGTATATGTTGCTCCAACGATTCGAACTCGCCATGTGCAAGATAGATCATTTACCTATTTGTTCGTTGACTGTTCCGATCCAGCGATTTCCTCACCAAAGTTGTAAATATGCTTTATTTAATGGAATCGAACCCCAAGTTAAAGAACTATGTGTTCGACAAATCGTTGCAAAATATACTCCAATTTTTAAAAGAATCGATTGACAGGGAACCTGGATTTATTCCACACCTGAACCTCTCACCTTAACTATTAGATGTCCTACAAGACCTCAGAAAGCACCTTATATATCTACAACACACAAATTGAATCATACGGGAAGGATTAATCTCCCAACTGCATGTACCGGTTACCTACCCGGAATCATCCTAACCTCACAATTTCAAAGACAATCAACCTTACAACTAGAGGTCGCACAACATCTAGTTGTTCCCCAAATTGAACAACTTTTAAACAAAACGGAACTACAAATCCTCCAAAACCATCTCCTCGAACCACAAACCCAAGAAGAGGAAAAATTAAACGCCGATTACGATATCAAGTTAGCAGACCGATCCTTATCAGACGTCACTTATGACCTCAATCACCTTTTACAGATGACAACTAAATCAGCATCTCCATCCTACCTCTCAACTGTCATAACGGTAATCACCAGTTGCTTAGGTACTGTTATTATGGGAGGCTGTTTTTATTATATCATTCGTCGATACCTTCAACAGAAACAACGTCAGTCACCACCTCAACCGCACCCTACAGAAACCGACCCAGAAACCATCTCCCTCCACGAAGTAAAAAGTCAACAGAACCACGACCCACAACCAAGCACTTCCCGAGAAATCGCTCCCCGAGGCGACTCTACCCAAATAGCACTGTCGCACAACACCTAGTTGTTCCCCAAATTGAACAACTTTTAAACCAAACGGAATTACAAATCCTTCAAAACCGTCTCCTCGATCCACAAACTCAAGAGGACAAATTAAACGCAGAATACGATATCAAGTTAGCAGACCGATCCTTATCGGACGTCACTTATGACCTCAATCACCTATTACAGATGACAACTAAATCAACACCCCCATCCTACCTCTCAACCGTCATAACGGTAATCACCAGTTGCTTAGGTACTGTTGTTATGGGAGGCTGTTTTTATTATATTCTTCGTCGATACCTTCAACAGAAACAACGTCAGTCACCACCACAACCGCACCCTACAGAAACCGACCCAGAAAACATCTCCCTCCACGAAGTAAAAAGTCAACAGAAACACAACCCTCAACCAAGCACTTCCCGAGAAATCGCTCCCCGAGGCGACTCTACCCAAATAGCACACAAACTTATTGTTCAAAGCTATTAAGACCGTAGTCGACACTCGACAACCACCATTGTATTTTTTTTTATTTTTTTCCAGTTATTCGGCGTTCCGAATTTATATTTCTCGGCGTTCGAATTTATGAACGGAACCTTTCCTATATTTTTTAAAATTTTCCTAGATTTATATATATATATATCCTAAATTTAGTATTTTAAAATCCGAGAGAGAGTAAAAATAAATATATGTAACCTCCATATACCTCTATAAAGGCCTCAGTGATTATTTTTCCATTATTATTAACTTTTATTAATGTTTTAATCAACGAAAAGTGCTACTTTTACCTCTTAAGCCGAAGACGTCCAACGCACGTGACTCCAACTATGCTAACACTTCGAAGTGCCAATCAACCTATCGTCCAGGAAGTTCTAACCTGATCGCCACTACATCAGAA